GGGGGGGGGGGGGGGGGGGGGGGGGGCGTGTGTGCACCTTTGTCAGGGTGAACATGTGCAGTGGGTGCAGGTCAGCGTGAGGAGTTGTGTAACGATTGAAACGTTGTCGTCTCTCTGCAGTACGACATCGTGGGCCACTCGGGCGACGGCTACGACATCGAGCTGGTCCGAGCGGACAAAGTCCCCAAGAACAACAAACAGAGACTCAAAGTCCTCAAGGTGCAAGATTCAGACTGAACCCACTCGAGTTTAGTTTTTCTCTTACATGTTGTTTTTATTTCTTTATTTCAAAACTCTGTGTTGAAGCTCAAATATAATTTTGGGGAAATTGGCTGCAAGAAAGATGAGATGCTCTGTTTTTATTTTCTTTGTTCATTTCTTAATTAGGGTGAAGGACAAGAAGGAAACTTAACAGAAACTTCTTTTTCACTTTTTAGTTCCTAGAAAGAAAGATTACACAAAAAACTAAGTGTAATTCTACTTTTTATTGTATTTATCTATAATGATGAAGTTGTTCGTCTGTTTGATGTTGTGTCCCCGTCCCTTGTTTCTTTTTTATCATCAATCTCTCGTACTTGTCTCCGCCCTGCAGACCATGCACGCCCACGCTCAGTTCTGCATGAGTGGCGACTACACGCTGGAGGGCACAGACGCCAGCATCAAGCAGCTGGCGCGAGAAGAAGCTGACGAGCGCTTTGTGGTGGTCCTCAGCGATGCCAACCTGGAGCGCTACGGCATCCCGCCCGAGCGCTTCGCCCGAGTCCTGACCGCCGACCCGCAGGTCAACGCCTTCGCCATCTTCATCGGATCCCTCGGGGATCAGGCTGAAAGGTGAGGGGGTGGACGGGTCAAGTTCAAGACTTTAAAGTTAAATGGGACCATCCAGTTTATTCTGAGACCTGCTGATGTTTCTGCTGCTGCCGTCACATCCCAGATTAACTCCTGAGCTCCGCAGACGAAAAAGGAGATAAGTCCTCTCCTTCTTCTTCTGAGGTTCACTGGCCCCGCATGAGCTTTTCAAGAGCTCCTGCTTGAATGTAGAACGGCAATGACCCGACCGTGACCTGATCTGCTCGTGACTCTGTGAAGAGAGAACAGATTTCGATCCCCCGGTCTGGTCCGTGGTCAGAGGAACCTTTACACCTGATATCTTGGTTCAGACTAAACTGAAAAACCTGAAGATCTGAACAAGCTGTGAAAGCGTCCGAAGACACTCGCTTGTATTTCAAACAAGTGCTCGTCTGTCTTTTGATTCGGGGAAATGAGCGAGTTGCTGAACTTCAGTTTGACCCCGAACATCTTTTATTCCTTCTCTCCGTCTTTGTTTCAGGCTCCAAAAGACGCTTCCAGCCGGGAGATCCTTCGTTGCCATGGACACTAAGCAGATCCCACAAATCCTGCAGCAGATCTTCACATCCACGATGTTGTCCAGTGCCTGACACTAACACACACTCACTCATCTGACAACATTTCAAACTCTCTGAAACTCGCTGGACTTTTTCCCCCGATGTGTCCTTCACGACAGTCGTGTTTGTTATTTCACAGAAGCCGTCAAGTCTGTAAACGATGATGTGTGAGCGTGACAGCTGAAGAATGTTTAGCTGCTTTTGTCCCCTCGGGGCGAAGACGTGGTCGGGAGGAGCCGTGTGGTCGCCGTGGTCTCGCTCCCGACAGATGACACGCAGCGCAGAGGTAACTGCAGTGACATCATGAGCGTCTGGAGCCGGTCTCATGTGGGGATCAAACACGCAGCCTCAGCTACTGTTGTGTTTCATTGTGTTCTGTGACGCACACGCACGTCCGTCTTTGTCCTTGTTTGGGTCGTGAACTTGAAACGGCTTCTCTCATTCTGGACTTCCTGCTCGTTTATCGGCCATCGCACAGAAAAACACACAGGAAGAGAAACAGTAACACCGGACTGACACTTGGACGCGGCTGGTGACAACAACTTGGCTCCTGAGGAATGTCGGGACTCTGACCAGGGATTTTCCCACCTGACTGCACACGCTCTCTTTAAAGCACCATTGCACAACCCCACAGTGTGTGTGTGTGTGTGTGTG